CAGTGGCGGCCGTGGCGGCGGTGGTGGAGGAGGTGGCGGCGGCGGCGGCGGTGGTGGAGGTAGCGGAGGAGGTGGTGCTGGTCGCGGTGCGGCCACGCAGCGTGGAGGCCTTGGTGGCAGCCAGCGTCCGCAGCAGCTGCGCACCCGTGAGACCCCGTCTGTTCAGCAGCTTCGTGAGTGGTACGCTGGACGTGGGAGGTCTGGGGGTGCAGGTCCCTGCGCGTACGTTCTTCGCACCCGCACTCGTAGTGGGGAGGTGTGTGGTCTCCCACACACCACGCAGCGCTGCTTTGGCCGCTTGACTGACGCTTGGCGTACCCAGTTTCCTGACGCTGTTGATCTTCCTCGTTGGCATGATATGCTTCTGCAGAATGTGCCTATCTTTGATCTAGATTTTGATGCTATCCTTGCTGCCATGTATGCTCTTGCTGATATTACTGAGGGTGACTGTTACCTGCGTGTCCCGCCCGACCCGGGCACTGTGGCTGCTGCTCTAGGTGCTAGTGCGGCTGCTGCTCTAGGTCCTAGTGCGTCTGCTGCTTCAGGTGCTGGTACGTCTCCTCCCTCTGGTACTGCACCTACTGAGTCCTTTCACACCTTCACACTTGACTTTGGTGCTTCGCGCTCTTTCTTTAGAGACAGCACCACGCTCACGCCGCTCCGTCGGCCTGTTGCGGTCTCCCTTGCTTACCCCTCCGGGGGACCAGTCCTTGCACACATTCTACGGTCGCGGGCTAAAAACGGACAAGGGGGGGGTGGTCGAACGGGCGACGGTGGGAAAATCGCGACGGGCTATGGGCGACGGGCGACGGTTGAGGTGCGATGGGCAACGGGTGAAACGCTACGAGGCGCGCGTTATCACAGGGCGCGCGTTAGTACGGGGCGTGCGGGTGGTGGGCCCATGACTATCGAGTGAAATTTCGCCCAGGGAAAAAATCGCCTAGGGAGAAATCGACTAGGGGAAAAATCGCCTTGGGGGAAACCTCGCTCTATACCATGTTACAATGTGAGAATGGATGATTAACAATGAACAAAACAGGAAAGGCTAACCCTAACCCTAGCACAACGGAATACACCTAGACTAGAACTAACATAACTATATAAATATAGTTTGACAGTACTGGTCCCCCTGAGGGTGACCCATATGCTCTTGATATCTCGACTCCTCGCACTTACACTGAGGGTGTGTCTATTCACAGGGGTTCTCAGTGGATAGTGGCCATAGACGCAAAGATGGCTTTTTGGAGGCTCACAGGCACCTACTATTACAGTTCCCCCTCCTCGAGCGAACGTAGTTGGCGACAAGTGGATCTTCAAGGTGAAGCGACCACCTAGACTGCCGAATGTCTTCAAGGCGCATTATGTGGCGAGTTCCTTTAGTCAGGGAGATTGGGAAAATTGCTTTCATACCTTCTCCCCCACCCCGAGGATGACCACTCTTCGGGTGTTACTTCACATTGCAGCACAGCGTGACTACGAGCTTTAGCTACTGGAATTCTCCACTGCCTTCTTTCAGGGCTGTCTGCACAAGCAGACCTGGCTGCGCCGCCCCCCTCATTTCACTGGGTCGTTCCCTCCTGTTGTGTGATGCTATCACATGCATTCACATCTGTCTGCCTCCCATCCTATGTTCGTGCTTTGCATGCGTGGTGTGAGTGTGTGGAGGAATTTGTGTTTGCTGTTGCTTGGAACTTGTGAGTGTGTGTGAATGTTATTTTGCTTGAGTAGATATCTGAAATAACTTCAATGTTCAAGAGTTTTTTCGCAAACCAAGAATCGTCGCGATCGGATCAAGAACGAGGAAGCTATTATCGTTCGAAGTTTTGATTGTGATACAGCGACTATATAATGGTAGGGTGACTCTATATGGGGTATATACTTTTGGGGGTTGGGAATTTTCGTCATTCTACTGTAGTTGCTGCCAAGTGGGTGGGAGAAGCCAAACCAGGTTGGCAAGTGTGGCCAATTTGGGTGAGGTGGATTTGGGAGGTTGGGAAAATGACAAGAGTCAAAGTTGGGTTCCTATAGGGAGGGGATTTTGTGGGCTTATGGAGTTTGGTTGGGTTGGGGCTCCCTTGGGACCTTCCCTCTCGTCCTCCTCTTGATCTCCCACCTGGTTTCTTGCTACTCTAATATTTTTTGTGTTTTCTAGAGATTATTGTGATTGAGTTAAGTTTCAGCTCCATCATACCCCCCAATGCGCCGAAATTCATAACCCGAATTTTACTTCACCTTTTGATACGATTCAAATTGGGAATTGTAGCCACGGTCGAGATTTCCAAATTTGTTGAAATTGGTGAAGTTAAAACAGCGAGGTTTTTGTCGACGGCGTTTCTTGTGAAGTCGAATTTTCTGTCCATAAGTATAGTCCGACCAGGGCCCTCGCTATCAGACATTTTTGTCTGTTTTTCTGAGGAATAAGACGGATTTTTTTTACGTAATCTGATTTTTAAGAAATGGAACGTTTGGGAAATCTGATGAATAAGATATGAGATTCCCATTTTGTCTGATGAAAAAGACGTGCGTGTAGCTATTCCTCTGATTTTCCAGGCACTTGTATCAGTTCCGTCTGAAACCGACTTTTATACAGTCTGCCGTGATTGACGTGTGATATGGGTTAGCTGTGCCAATCACAGCACGATCAGTAGACCTGTATGCGTGATTGCGGTGACAGCGCAGTGGAGCGCACTGACAGAAGTCAAGTGCTGGCAATCTGGCGCACGTCTGGCCAACTTGGGCCACATTGAGACGAAAGTGGAGCAAGTCTTTCTGTTACTGGTCCACTTTCACGCCAGCGCATGAGTTGTGTGGATTGCAGAGCCTCGCGCGACTCGCACTGACTGTTGCCCAACGTCCCGCTGGACGAAGGATGGAGTGGGGCACCGCGGTGCGTTGTAAGATCATGCATGCACCTCGTTCAGCTGATAATGCTCGGCTTGCTCCCCCTCCCTCTCCAACGCTCCTTTCACTCGCTAGCACAGGGGAATTCTTTCCCCTGCTCTCTCTACCGTCTTGACAACATCCTCCTAGGGCCCTGTAGCCATGGATTGTAGGGACGATGATGACCCTGCTAGGTCGCATCGTCCACTTACTGGTCTCGACTTTCTGAGAGGCGGTCCGCCTACCGCCACGCCTGAAAGAGATCCGCCTGTGCAGCCCCCAGTTACCAACAACGAACCAACGGCAAGCACGGAGCCCTGGCCGGATTTTAATCAGCGGCAACAGCTGAGCGATCCGCCTGTGGAAGAGTCGCCCACTAGAGCGACCGGGCGCGTCGCAACTCCCACGGTCAGTGCTGTCCGAAGCGCAGGCGTCTCCCGGTTCCCGAAGTTCGGGAAGTTCACTCAATCGACTATTCGGTTTGCTCGAACTCACGTACCTCATGTGCGCCTCACGCAAGGAAGGTCGCCCTCTCCCGCAGCTGCTGCTACTCCGCTGACTCCAGCGACTGGCACGAGCAGGGTGCCTTCGGATCCAGGGCCGTCCAGGCCGTCTATTTTGGTTCCGGATCCTGACGCGCTTCTCGAAGAACTGAAGAAGAAGTGCACCGACATCTGGCAACGTCGTTTCCCCTGGCTGCTGATATCACAAAGGAAGGATGGTCGCCCGTGCATGAAGTGCAGTGTCTGCATCAGATACGGACCGCCACACTGGCAGTACGGCAAGGCGGGCGAGGGTGGCGTGGACATCCAGAAGCAGACCATGCGCAAGCATGGTCTGAGTCGCAAGCATCAGGACGCCCTCAATCGTAAAGCCCGAGCCGAAGGAGGTAAAGTTGCTCAACGAGGGATTGATGAGTATGAGGACGGGGTGGGGGAGATTGAGCGTTTGAAACAACTTCTATTAGTGGTGCTTTTCATATGCAAGTCGGATGCACCTATTGCGCTCTTTGTTGGCCTTGTGCACCTGCTACACGTTCTGAAGACCCCCAACATTCCCGACAAGGCCATCGGCACCTACCAGACAGAGTGAGTAATGCAACGTGATGTGATGTTTAGGTACTCATCATCATTGACTTATTGTCGTGCTTTTCATTATGGCAGATATGGGTTTCGGGAGATGACCGAAGCCATGGTGCAGCACCTGAAGGCCCGTCAGATGCGATACATCCAAGAGTCGCCCTTTCTCGGGATTCAGCTCGACGAGTCGACTGATCGGAGGAAGGGCAAGCATCTCATCGTCTACCTAACCTTCATGAAGGAGGAGAAGGCGGTGACCGAGCTTTTCGGGCACCTAACCGTGGAGAAGGGCGACGCTTCATCTCTGCTCGCCGTCTTGCTGGCGCATCTGGACTGCAACGGGGTTGACATGCACAAGATCTCCGGCATCAGCACGGATGGCGCGAACGTCATGCTGGGCAGTCAGAATGGGCTGGTGGTTCAGCTGAAGATGCGAGTTCCGCATCTTGTCGCGTGTCATTGCTTTGCTCACCGGTGAGGTATTTTGCACTTCAAATTTTGCAGTATTGTTGTCAGATACATCTCCCCCTACTCACTTGGTTTTTTTTTCCATCATCTAACAGAGAGGCTCTCGCAGCCAAGGATGCCGCGACGAACATCCCCGCCTTCAACATCGTCGACCAAGGGATCCGCGCCATCGCGACCCTCATTGGCGGAAGCTGCGTCGTCCACCAGAGGTTCCACGAGCTGCAAACCGTGATTCACGCCACGAACTTGGAGATGCAGGGGATTTTCGATGTTCGCTGGCTGTCGCGGGGCGATGCTGTTTCGAGACTTGTCGCTGTTCTGCCGGCTGCCATAGTGCTGCTCCACGAGAAAGACAGCACGACGTATCACCTGGTTACGAGCCTCAAATTTCATTTCTTTCTTTTTTTTCTCGCTGATGTCCTGAAGGAATTGAACGAGCTCAACAAGCGGTTTCAGCGACGATCGGTGAGCGTGTAATTAACGGTCGCCGATTTTGAAATTCGCTCTAGTCCCGAATGTCAGTGATTAACATTGTGTTTGTGCGTGATGTCGCAGGTGGACATCACCCGTGTCATGGGGCAGGTGCAAAACACCTGCGAGAAGTTGAACGCACGCTATGTGGAGTACGGGGTGAACTTCGCGGAGGACAGCGAGCACCTCACTGCCTTCCTCGAAGCGCACTCCCATCCGTCCAAGCGGGTGGTCCAGGTGGAGGGGATGGATGGAGACGGCAACGCCGTCAAACACACCTTCAAGCTGCACGAGCTGGATGCGAAGAAGAAAGAGGATCCCTCGGGTGACGTCGAGTCCTGCGTGTCCCTCGCCACCCTGTTTGCGAAGGAGGTGATCGGCAGGCTACAGTACCGCATGCGAAGCTTGAAGTCCCTCGTTGGGTCCAAGCTATTTCTGCCAGACGCCTATCCGGATGGCGTGAACAAGCGCGACCGTCTGTGCGCGGAGTGGTTCAGCTCCCTTCGCAAGATGTTCAACGCCGAGCAGTGCGCTCTGCCAGGTACGTGTTTTCAAATTCCGCGTTGTCCCTAATCCCTTGTTTGTGTAACGATCCGTCTACATAGTGGGATGCTAACTAGATGTGCTGTGTGCTTGCAGGAGTCAACTGGAAGAAGGCCGAGCGGGAGCTTCCACGTTTCACCCGCGTGATGGTGTCACAGTACAAGGATCAATCCTTCCACGTGGCACTTAAGAACATGCTCAGGAGCGGGGATTGGGAGTCTTCTTTCCCCAATCTGGTTCGACTTTGGGTGGCAGTGGCTGTTCTTCCGCTCAGCACTGTGGAGTGCGAGCGAGGGTTCAGTCGCCAAAACGTAATCAAGTCGTGGCTCAGGAACAACCTCTGCAATGCGCGACTCTCCGACCTCATGTGCATCTCCCGGCTTGACTACGAACCAGACTGGGACAACGTGGTGAAGCTGTGGCGCGGGGCAAAGAAGAGGCGCCCTGCCAAAGAAGTCAGTGGAGTGGTGACTGCGAAGCGCAGGGAGGCAGAGACGGAAGCGGCAGGGAGGCAGGGAGGCAGGGAGACAGGGAGGATCTAGCACCTAACACGACAGCTCAGAAAGCGCCGTCCAATGACGACGGAGAAGCCAAGAGGAAGAAAGCCAAAACTCACATAGTAGATAGCGACAGTGAGGATGAAGGAGTGGATGTGCGTGCAACTGTTACACTGAGTGACAATGAGGCATCTGACTCTGACTCAGATAGCTAGATAGTTATTCTTGATATGTTTTCTTTGTAGAGAATAGCTGAGTAGTAGTTGTAGTTACAGTAGGGACGGGTTACAAAATCTGTTTTTTAAGCCAAGTAATGTTAGAATTTCTGATGCGAAAGACAGGGGCGTGAAAATTTTCTGACCAGTCAGACGGGCCCTCAGGGGGGTTCAGAGACTAGCGAGGGCCCTGAGTCCGACGATGTCGAGTTAATTCAGCCCCTAATCTTCCTAGACTCTGTTCTTAATCCTAACACCTCCTACCACCCACTGGATCTTGAGGCGGCCTGTCTATGTTCTCCGTCGAGCTCCACGTGAGTGGCACAACATGTTACGTACTACTCTCGCTGCTCTTGGCTTCTCTCCGTCTTCTACTGAGCCTTCGCTCTTTGTCCGCTGAGGTTGACGTCGTTCTATGTTCTTGGTTACGTCGACGACCTAGTCTTTGCTACTCCCAACACAGCTACATTGACCTTTGTGAATGCCAAGGTGTAGAGGAAACAAACATCCATTGACCTAGGTGACCGACCGAGAGGCGGATGGAGGAAACAAAACGTTACCTTATCCTGCAAATCACAAGGAATGGAGTAGCTCGCGCCAACACTCTGACTCAGTCACACATGGTGCAGCAAATTCTCCAGCGGGTCGACCTTCAGTTCTTCACTGCACAGCCCACCCCTCTTGCAGTTGACCATGGGCTCGGGGCTCTTGTTCCTGACAATCCTGTTGAGCCTAGCGATCAGTACGTAGAGCTGGTGGGGTGCCTCATGTACTTGATGACCTGCACTCGTCCAGGCCTTGCGTTCCCTCTCAGCATACTTCCTCGCTTTGTTGCGACTCGCAGACACAGCCCCGTTCACTGGACGGGTGCTAAGAGGGTACTGCGGTATCTGGCAAGTTCATCATGTATGGGGCTTGTGCTTGGAGGTCGACGGCCAATCAATCTCGTTGAACACACTGACGCAGCGTGGGCAAACGACCATGAGAGCCTTAAGTCTTCACGCGGTCAGGCACGCGTGGCTACGGTGGCCTTAGAGGCCAACACCGCTGATATCTTCACAAGGCACTACAGCCCCGTGATCGTTATCGGTTCTGCACGCAGCTTGGCCTTGTTCCGACTGGTCCTCACTTGGTATAGTCTTGCCATTTGTATCTTGTACCGCATATAATAATATGCACTCTTGGACTGGCCTTGTGGCCATTTGTCTCAGAGGCTGGGTCAGTTGTACCACCCTGAGTTGGTTTCACATGCCTTGCTATTTCTTGCTCACAGACTTAGGTGAGCCACCTTGTTTTGCCCCGGTCCTGTTCGCGGACAACAAGGCCATGATCCTGTTGTGTCATGAGCCAAGATCGGAGGGCAGGGTGAAGCAGATTCAGTTGCGGTACTTCCTGCAGCGTGAGTTGCAGCGCGCGGCTAGGCACTCGTAGTTTTTGTGGCCTTAGAGGCCAATATTGTGTACATCTTGAAAAAAACAGTCCAGCCTAGTGATCATTAGTATTTCTGCACGCAGCTTGGTCTTGTTTGGAGAGTGTGAGAGGATCAATGCTTCATTTCAATATTCAATAATGCACCTGGGTACAAGGTCGTAGCCATATGCAGGCACGATACAAGGCAGGCAACCCTAGTGTTACTAGAATGTACCGAAAGTATCGAGGCTCTAGAACATGTTGGAATAGAGGCTTCCCGAACTCGTAAGGCATTAGGATTGCAAAGCCTCACCCAGTCGCCTCCGCCTCTCATGCAAATTGACTTGCATGCACGGTTCACACAGTTTCCACTCGTGTTACGTGATTGCGCCACGCGTCCACCATGGGTCTTGGTTCCGAGGCATAGTGGTCGACATGTTGTTGACACGTCTAACCGACCCCATGCTCTCGCACATGTGGCGCAGGATGACACAGCATGAAGCACCGGCGAGGCCACTTCCAATCTCGCAGTCATTGCGCCCTGCAAAGAGCCTCCATCTGCCCTTGAACACGCCAATGCAATGCTCGATTGCCATACGTGTAACACTCTCGCAGTAGCTTAAAACTCGCGTCTCGTAATTTCTACCGTATTACACTTGGTTGGGAGGTGGCACCTGGGATTGGTCCACGAGCAGCGACTGGAGGGGTGATTTGGGCGAAACCTGAACACTGTACGCTCAACACCAAACCTACCGCCCTAACCTGTTGAAAAACCCACACCTTTGCAAACACGTTCGTCTGGTTTGACACTCCCTGCGACAAACCCATGCGACGGAAACATAACACACAATTTTGAGAGTTGTCATTCCACTCCAGCACATCATCATCCCCACAAGCCCCTTCAACGTTTATTACTTGTCATTACTAGAGTAACACTAGTCACACCTCCCCATTACTAGGTTCATTACTTGTCACACTTCCCCTTCCCCGTCACTATCGTTATTAGAGTAACACACCATCATTACTGCTCATTCGCTCGTGAAAAGCTCCCCTCACATCTAGCTACAGAGATCTCCAATGTCGGGTCAAGCGGATAATGGGCACGTCGCAAGGGGAATGGCGGATTCCTCCGAATCCGTTGCAGATCGAGGCGCCGTGGAAACCGCGCGTTAGTAAAACAACGCGCGCGAATCGCACACGGTATCTCACCCGCCTCCCCCACTACTTCCCGCGCATTGGTAGACACGGTATCGCACCCCCTTCCCCACGGTCGCCATCACTGTTCTCCCCCGGTCTCACTCTCCTATTCCCCACCGTCGCCCTCCACGCTTCCCCACAGTCTCAACTGCCATTTCCCTACGCAATCACTCCCCTTCCCCGTCGCTTTCTCTCCCCTTCCCCCTCGCTAGCGTGCCCGTTGCCCCCCATGTGCGCCCTCCCCCTCCCCCTCGCGAGCACTCCCCTTCCCCGTCGCCCGCGGTCCCCTACCCCGTCTCTAGCTCTCCCCTTTCCCCACGCCATCACACCCCTTCCCTGTCGCGTTCACTCCCCCCCTCCTCCCTATCACTCCCCTTCCACGTCACTCGCACTCCCTTTCCAAGGGCTATCCCTCCCCTTCCCCATCGATAGCTCCCCCTTTCCCCACCGCTAGCACTCCCCTCCCCCGTCGCTATCACTCCCTCCCCGTCAATATCACTCCCCTTCCCCCTCGCGATCATTCCCCTTCCCCGTCACTCCCCTTCGCTGCCGCGTTCTCTCCCCTCCCCCCTCGCTCGCGTGCACGTTCCCCTCCCATGTGCGCCCTCCCCTTCCCCCGGCACTATCACTCCCCTTCCTCGTCGTGTTCTCTCCCCTTCCCCCTCGCTAGCGTGCCGGTCCCCCCCCATGCACGCCCTCCCCTTCCCCTTCGTAAGCACTCCCCTTCTCCGTCACTATCTCTCCCTTTTCCCCTCGATAGCTCTCCGATTCCCCACCGCTCGCCATTTGCGCGTGTGCCTCTCGCGAGAACCAGTGCTATCTCACATTCTCCAGTGGCATCTCCCCTTTTTTTTACAGGTAGACGCCAAATGGCATTGCTTTCCGCGTGGCTCGCGGTTTCCGAGGCCTCCCCTCTTTCCCGCTTCGCTCAACTCTTACCTAGCCTCAGACCCATGTAACATACGGTACCCTGAGTATTCTTCTACCTCCCGTTTGTATCAATGTTATCTTGTGCTCACCCTCTAAACGGACGGAGCGCGATGCGGCAGTTGTCGGCGACGGAAAATGTGAGGAGGCAAGGAGTCGATGATGTGCGCGCGGAGCCAGTTGCAAGGAAATGCGGCCAGCAGGAATGTCGCGCAAGTTCTCGAGTCGCCTTTTAACTACAGCGAGAGGTGCTTGCTACTCAGAGGTTTTACGGCTAAAGCACCGGACATGACAAGTCTGATAACCTTATTTTAGTTTATGCGATACGAGTGTTGTTGACGCTGATTTTCAAGCATATTATGCTTGGTAGGCATATTGACTGGCGAGATGGAAAGTTGTCTGGAACTCTGTCTCTATTTTTCTGAGAGCTTGGGTAGTACGTTTGGTCTCCCTGTGAGAGAGTTTCGCAGGGCGAGGTTGTGTCGCACGACTAAGTCACAAAAATGTCGCTCCACATCGTCAAGTGCTTTTCCATCCCTTGGTTTGGTGCACGATCGTTTGCTGGGCCTTGCAGGTTGGGCCCTCCCTTACAATATTTCTAGCCCCCAACCAGCCCCCAAGCATATGCAAACCGCAGGTGTAGTATGGCGACGGGAACCCTGGTTACCATTTATCAACCGTATTACACTTGGTTAGGACGACGGGAAAATGAGACGCGGGCTTTAAACACTGTTCCGATTCGTCCATTAGGTGATCCCGTGGTGCATGCCAAGTGTTGGAAACAAGCAATTTAACGCTCCTGTTGTGTCGAAACAATAGACTACAAACGAGGCGAATCACAATGGAGCAATGGCGAGTCAACCGAGGAGGTTGACAGAAAGTAACAGCTGGAGGTTACGCGAAGGTCAAAGGTCGCTGACCTTGACTCGACGAAATACAGCGCGACAGCAAGGACAAACAACCGACTCGGTATTGAGCAGTTGCCCGAGTCGTCACTATATCGAACCGCAACAACAAACCAGTTAGTTGCAACTTTTCGTATTCCTTGTAATATTATAAAAGCCTTTGTATTACCTTGCTATAATCAATCTCTTGCTATCACACACTAGTGCAAGTTGGTTCAACAAAGTTCACTAAGAACGCTTCCGCAATTACAACATTCCTACTCAGGGTCTTAGCCTTGGAATGATCCTAAGGGCTTTTATCAGCCCAACATGGTATGAGAGCTACAAGGCAAGATCCAACTTCATTTTTTTATCTTCTACAACATCAGAAGGCATGGAAATGCAAAAGGAGAGAAGCTCTTCTAACGGCTCCCCCGACACTACATCTACTCCACCTCCAGCCTCTGGCCTACAGACGGAAGGAGGCACAGCGACAAGACCAACAGCTGAGTCTACTGAAACTCCTGCTAACCAGGCAGCAGGCCTCGACCCAAGCATGATGGAGAAATTCTTCTCCTTCATGTCCTTCTACGAGCAGCACCAGCAAGCAGCACCTGTGCAACCAAACAACAGCGACAACAACAATAGGGTTACTCCAATGAGCCTTGACAGTTCATCCTATGCGCGCGGAAACCAGCAGCAACCTACCTTTGCCCCGTACGAACCTCAACGTGGCTCCATCAGCTTCACGCCACACCAACAGCCTTCACCTGGACAGGAAAAGACACAGGACGCGCTTCAGGTTCAATCACAGTTCGCACACGTTTTGAAACTGCAGACATCGACACCCTTTGACGGAAAGGACTTCTATACCTGGTCATTCGAGTTTGAGCTAATGATGGAAGGCGCGCAGATTCTCGGATTCTTCGATGGATCCCTGCCATAGCCTGATGGATAGCGTGCGAATCTGGAGAGGGTACAAGAGATTAAGTCCGCCGACTTCGACGGAACATTGCATACAGCTCACGTAACCTTAAGCTATGAGCGGGTACGCGTTGGAAACGTCTTAATCTCTACTTTCCAGAATGGTAATGCCCACCTTAAACCAAGATCTAGGCCGATCGCTATCGCGATTTAAGTGCGACGGGGTGTCCTAGCCGAATTACTTGGCAGCCATGGATTACATATAGGAATGGCTTAAGCTAGAGTTCAGATCTGAAAAATGACGAGTTTGACAAACCCTACCATCCCAACCCTCGCCATACAACAATCCCCAACAATCCAAAATGCCAAACTAGCAACACCAAAGGTGTTGTAATGGGTAGCAAAGGTTTGTTGGTGCTTGTTTGGTGCGAGATCAAATCCAGCCCGTAACAAGTCTAGCAATCATATTTTGCCCAGACCCTTAGCCCACAACCAGCTAGAGCAAAATACCACAACCACCTACACAATCAACACTCCCCCTTGCTCATCTTGGAGGTGGCTGAACACCACTGGGCAAAATCCTTCACTCCACTCCTCCTTGCCCAGGAAGGGGAGCCGTCCACAGCATGATGTCGTCAAGGCAGAGAAGCACCAGCCCTCCCACATCCTGCTCAGGCACCATGCCAACATGGGGCTGCATCCCCATCAAGGACATGCACACACCGTGCCGCTCAAAAGGAAGGGGTTTGGTGAGTATGTCTGCTGCCTGACGGTTGGTTGGGCACCACCGGAGGATCACCTCGCCGCTTGCCACCATCTCCCTGATGAAATGCCACCGAACCTGCATGTGCTTGGTGCGGCCATGCAAGCATGCATTCTGTGCAAGGGCAATGGCAGACTGGTTGTCCACAAACACAGGCACACCACCAGCAAGCTCATGCCCAAACTCCCCAAACAAATGCTTCAGCCACACACCTTCCTGAATGCACTGACACAGACTGATGTATTCACTCTCAGTGGTGGACAATGCAACCACTGGCTCCCTCTTGCTCTGCCAAGAGATGGCTGCACCATTAAGGCAATAGACATAGCCGGTGTGACTCTTACGGTCAGCTGAATCTCCAGCATAATCAGCATCACTAAAGCCCACCAACTCAACTTGAGGCTTGCTGTGTGCGGGGTAGAAGATCCCTGACTTGACACAACCTTTCAGGTACCTTAGCACTCTCTTAGCAGCCTGTAGATGAAATGCCTTGGGACAAGACACCACCTTGGACAGCTGTGACACTGCATAAGCAATCTGGGGCTGTGTGGTCGTGCTTGCATACATGAGAGACCCCACAATGCTTTGATAGAGCTGGACCAGCTCATCTCTCAGCAAGGGCTCCTCAGCATGTGCATGCACGTCGAACCCTGTAGGGAGAGGGGTACGCACGGGGTTAGCCTCAGAAAGGCCAAAGGACTCAAGCATGTTGAGAATGTACCTCTCCTGATGAATCAAGATGCCACTCTCATCACGCTCAATCTGCACCCCCAAATAGTACTTAGCCTCCCCCAAGTCCTTCATGCGGAAACGAGATGACAAGAGACTCTTCACCTCGTCCAGCAAGACCATGCTTGACGACATGAGCAGAATGTCATCCACATAGAGGTAGAGGGACAACCTGCCCTCATCCCTCACCAAGTGGTACAAGGTAGGGTCACACTCAGACCTCTCAAAGCCAAAATCCATCAACACCTCATCAAACTTGAGGTACCACTGCCTTGGAGCTTGCTTAAGCCCATAGATTGATTTTTTGAGTCGGCAAACCCTGCAGGACCCATCATCAAAACCAGGGGGCTGCCTCATGTAAAGCTCCTCCTTCAAGACCCCATGAAGATAGGCAGTGGTCACATCCATGTGATGGATGTGAAACCCCGAGGAGGCTGCCATCCCAAGGAAGCATCTCAGGGTAGTAGGCTTACCCACCGGGGTAAACACCTGGTCATAGTGAACACCCCGTGTTTGAGTGTTCCCCATGGCCACCAACCTGGACTTAGGTCTCTCAATGCTACCATCAGCCTTGTGTTTGTACTTCCACACCCACTGATACCTCAATACCTCCATACCAGGTGGCACACAAGCTGGATCAACCAGCTCAAAGGACTTGTTCACCTTATGAGACTCAAGCTCCTCGCGCATGGACTCGACCCACTCAGGACGGGACAAGGCCTCCTTGACTGACTTAGGCTCATGTACCTGACCCATAAGACAAAAATCAAGTCCATGCGCACCCCCATCAGCATCCACAAGCATGCACTCCTCCAAATCATGCACCTCATGATCATGCATGCAAGCATACTGTGCACTTGGTGTGAACCTCTCAGGTGGCCGGGAGATGCGTGTGGTGCGGCGCAGAGGTGATGCCTCCCCCTGCTCCAAACTTTGCAGCTTCTCCCTCCAAGTCACTCTCTTCATGGGGGACCATGGTGACTTGGGCAGCTGCTGCTGCAGTAGTTGCTGCCACCTACCCACAGGAACAGGCGGTGTATGCTGCTGTGGTGGCTGCTGCGGCTTCTCTTGTTGCTGCTGCTGCTGCCCCTGTGGCTGCTCCGGGTCATGGGCTGGTGCGTTAGGGTCAGGGGTAGAACCAGCAGTTGGTGACTCCTCATGGTGAGGTGCAGCTGCCTTTTGTTCCTCTTGCTGCTCCTGTACCTCCTCTCCAGGGTCCTCCCATGCCCCCTCAAAGATGGAAGAGGTGTAGGGATCCCGGAGGGAGCTCCCAACTGTACTAGCACCACGCTCCTTCCACCCCTTGTAGCTCAGCCCCTCGTGAAAAACCACATCCCGGCTTTCCACCACCCGCTGATCCGCCACACTCCACAACATCCAAGCTTTGCTCCTCTCCGACACCCCAAGGAAAATGCCCCATTGTGCCTTAGGATCCAGCTTCCT